CTACTATCTCTTGCTGTAACTGGAGCCTGAATGAGAGGCAACCTCAGGAACAAAATCCTTAACAGGCCTCACCGAAAGTGGATACAATGGCTGCAGGCTGTGCTTGGGCTAGGGGCAGGGATACAGTCTTACAGTGAGGGCTAGGATTCCTAACGGGCTTAAAATCCTGAGAGGATGGGAGAGTCTAGGACCAGAGGGCACAGACTCAGAATAAAGGGGCTTCAGTGTAAGACTGAGATGAGGAGGAATTTCTTCTCTCAGAGGGTTGTGAGTCTTTGGAATTCCTTGCCACAGAGAGCTGTGGGGGCAGAGTCCTTGTGTACGTTTAAGGCTGAGTTAGAGAGATTCTTGCTCAGTCAGGGAATCAAGGGTTACAGGGAAAGGGACAGGAGAGTGGATGTGGGGAATGTCTCGAGGGGCCGAACGGCCTACTCCTGTTCGTATTTCTTAAGATCTAGGCTGTTTTGGACTGAGAGGTGGAGGAATTTCTTCACTCAAGACTTGGGCTAGGTCAGGGGGCAGGCGGGGGAGTGGGGTGGGGGGGGGAGGTGGTATTGTGTGAATATTTGGAATTCTATGCACTCGATGTGGAGGCTCAGTCATTAAGTCTGTTCAAGACAGAGATCGCCAGATTTCTGCATATTAAAGAGTTCAAGGGATGTGGAGATAGTGAAGGGACACGATGCCAGCAGCATAGGGGTCTCTACACATGGCCCAATGCTGTTTTCTTGCTTTGAGATAGTGGGTCAGCCACAATCCAGCCTAATAGCAGAGTAGGCTTGATGGGCGATATCATTCCAAGGCAGGATGGTGGGTGGCTCAGAGGAAAATCTCATGCAACCCTCACACTGAGGACCCACTTTTTAATGGCAGCCCCAGGCCTTCCAGAGGCCTGGACCAAAGCTTCAGGGAAAGCCTGTCCAAATATCACCCTGCGTTTCGAATCAGACAAACAATCTGGCGTCAGTGCTGGTGAAATTACGACTGACTGTTTGAAAAAAATGAAAACCCCATTTGGTTCACCAGGCCTAGTCTGGGCCTACACATAACTCCAGACCCATAGGAACACGGTCAACTCATAATGTCACCTCAGTAATGGCAGAGCAAGAGGCAAAGTCCAAGGGTTAATTAGGGACGGGACAATAAATGCTAGGCCTTGCCATAGATGCCCACAGCCCCCTTAAAATACAAGGAGCTCACCGTTGGATGCCTCATTGATGGCTGTGTTTGTGTGTGCACAGGTGTGTAGGAGAGTTTGTGTGAGTGAGTGTATGTATGTGAGAGAAAGTTGTGTGTGTGTGTAAGTGAGTGTGTGTGAATATGAGTCAGTGTGTATGTGTATGAGAGAGAGTGTGTATGTGTGCATATGTAGAAGAGAATGTGTGAGTGCATGCGTGTGAGAGACAGTGTGTGCATGTGTGTATGTGTGTGCGAGTGAGTGTGCTTGAGTGAGTTTGTGTGTGTGTGTGTGAAAGTGTGTGTGTGCGTTATGTAGGAGAGAATTTGTGAGTATGTGTGAGAGATAGTGTGTGAGAGTGTGTGTGTGCATGTGTACATGTGTGTGTGTGTATGTAGGAGAGAATGTGTGAGTGAGTATGTGTGTGAGAGAGTGTGTGTGCATGTGTACGTGTGTGTGTGTGGCAGACAGCAGGGAGTGAGGACCAATCTGAGCCAGGAAGAACCCACCAGTCAATCTACAATTCCCAGGACACTGCTATCGCTCAGGGATTTAGGGACTGCAGTGACAGCTCCTATAAAAAGATGAAACATCAATTTTAGGGCACAGTGCTGGAGGAGAATGTGAGAGAGCAAACTCAGAGCAATTCGGTTGGAATGAGCTGTTTAGAGATTAAAGCAGGGAGTTCTGGAATCGGAACTCATTTTCCGGGAGGCTGGACAGTGCAGACGGAATTGGCAGGAAAACCCAGATACAGTTCCCGTACCAAAAAAACCCTAAAAGTTACAACCTTCCCACTTTCTCAAGACATCCTGTCACGTGTTGGAGCAGTGCACAGGCTGTCAGCTTACACAGTGTGTGAGAGGGAGCTTTACTCTTATATAACCCCATGCTGTCCCTGTCCTGGGGAGTGTTTGATGGGGACAGTGTAGAGGGAGCTTTACTCTGTATCTAACCCCGTGCTGTCCCTGTCCTGGGAGTGTCTGGTGGGGACATTGTAGGGGGAGCTTTACTCTGTATCCAACCCTGTGCTGTCCCTGTCCTGGGAGTGTTTGATGGGGGACAGTGTAGAGGAAGCTTTACTCTGTATCTAACCCCGTGCTGTCCCTGTCCTGGGAGTGTTTGATGGGGACAGTACAGAGGAAGCTTTACTCTGTATCTACCTCTGTACTGTCCCTGTCCTGGGAGTGTTTGATGGGGTCAGTGTAGAGGGAGCTTTACTCTATCTCTCATGCTGTAGCCATCAAATTACCTACTGCTGCCCCCTAATCCATATCTTTGCTGTCATGGGGGCTTGCAGTGCACAATACATCCACTTTAAATAGACCATCCCCTGAAACCTAGAGTCTCCAAACAGCAGAAATAGTGTCAACAGAGAGAAACTAACTCTGTCCTTAATGAGTTATTGACAACTGATAAACTCTGTTTATTGTTTAAGATTTGTGGCAATTAACATTTGTGCCACACAAATGCCATGCAACGACCATCTCCAATCAGAGACAATCTCACCACCACCCCTTGACATTCAGTGGTGTTACCATCAGCAACATCTACACAGGTCAGAAACTCAACCAGACTTACCACATAAACACAGCGGCTACAAAAGCAGGTCAGAGGCTGGGAATCCTGTAGTGAGTAACTCACCTCCTGATTCCCCGAAGCCTGTCCACTATCTACGAGGCACAAGTCAGGAGAGTGATCGAATAGCCAGCATCACCATCTGCAAGTTCCCCTCTGAGCCACTCCCCATCCTAACTTGGAAATATATCGGCCGTTCCTTCAGTGTCGCTGGGTCAGAATCCTGGAATTCCTTCCTGAGGACATTGTGAGTCTACGTATAGCACAAGGACTGCAGCGGTAAGGGTTATGAGGGAAGAGAATAGAGATCAGCAAGGCCGCCTAGATGAGAACTGCAGGAGATGGGGGAGATACTAAATGAGTATTTTGCATCAGAATTTACTGAGAAGGATATGGAAGCTAGAGAACGTGGGGAAATAAATAACAACCTCTTAAAAAAATTCCATATTATAGAGGAGGAGGTGCTGGATGTCTTAAAATGCATAAAGGTGGATAAATCCCTGGGACGTGATCAGGTGTACCTTAGAACTCCATGGGAAACTAGGGAAGAGATTGCTGGGCCCCTTGCTGAGATATTTGTATCATCGATAGCCATAGGTGAGGTGCTGGAAGACTGGAGGTGGCTAATGTGGTGCCACTATTTAAGAAAGGTGGTAAGGAAAAGCCTGGGAAGTATAGACCAGTGAGCCTGACATCAGTGGTGGGCACGTTGTTGGAGGGAATCCTGTGGGACAGAGTTTACATGTATTTGGAAAGGCAAGGACTGATTAGGGATAGTCAACATGGCTTTGTGCGTGGGAAATTGTGTCTCACTAACTTGTTTGAGTTTTTTGAAGAAGTAAGTAAGAGGATTGATGAGGGCAGAGCGGTGGATGTGATTTATATGGACTTCATGATAGACTGGTTGGCTAGGTTAGATCAGACGGAATAGAGGGAGAACTAGCCATTTGGATACAGAACTGGCTCGAAGATAGGAGACAGAGGGTGGTGGTGGAGGGTTGCTTTGCTGACTGGAAGCCTGTGACCAGCGGTGTGCCACAAGGATTGGTGCTGGGTCTGCTGCTTTTTCTCATTTATATAAACGATTTAGATGTGAACATAGGAGGTACGGTTAGTAAGTTTGCAGATGACACCAAAATTGGAGATGTAATGGACAGCGGAGGTTAACTCAGAGATCTTGATCAGATGGGCCAATGGGCTGAGGAGTGGCAGATGGAGTTTAATTTAGATAAATGTGAGGTGCTGCATTTTGGAAAGGCAAATCAGGGCAGGACTTGTACATCTTAATGGTAAGGTCCTGGGGAGTGTTGCTGAACAAAGAGACCTTGGAGTGCAGGTTCATAATTCCTTGAAAGTGGAGCCGCAGGTAGACAGGATACAGAAGAAGGCATTTGGTATGCTTGCCCTTATCGGTCAATGCATTGAGTATAGGAGTTGGGAGGTCATGTTATGGCTGTACAGGACATTGGTGAGGCCACTTTTGGAATACTGCATTCAGTTCTGGTCTCCCTGTTACAGGAAGGATGTTGTGAAACTTGAAAGGGTTCAGAAAAGATCCAAGAGGATATTGCCAGGGTTGGAGGGTTTGAGCTCTAGAGAGAGGCTGAATAGGCCTGGGGCTATTTTCCCTGGAGTGTCAGAGGCCGAGGGGTGACCTTATAGAGGTTTAAAAATCATGAGGGGCATGGATAGGGTGAATAGTCAAGGTCATTTTTGCTAGGGTGGAGGAGTCTGAAACTAGAGGGGCATAGGTTTAAAGTGAAAGGGGAAAGATTTAAAAGGGACCTGAGGGGCAATGTTTTCATGCAGAGGGTGGTGTGTGTATGGAATGAGCTGCCAGAGGAAGTGGTGGAGGCTGGTACAATTACATTTAAAAGGCATCTGGATGGGTACATGAATAGGAAGGGTTTAGAGGGATATGGGCCAAATGCTGGCAAATGGGATTAGATTTTTTTAGGATAACTGGTCAGCATGGACGAGTTGGGCCAAACGGTCTGTTTCCGTGCTATACAACTATATGATTCAATGAGTCTAAGTACCACCTTCTCAAGGGGCAACTATGGGCATTGAACACAGCACCCACTTCACATGAGCGAGAGTCCAGAGGGATGGAGAATGATGACTTTATTCTGAATTGGATAAGACATGAAAGCACTTTCTAAATAAACATATCACTCACTCTAACTAGTGCCTATTACTGTCCCAGACTGTTCTTGCTAATGAAATCAAAATCTCAGCTTTAATGATGTGCTTCATGAATATTCAATTTCTTCTTCTCCAATTGCTCTCATTATACTGTCTTTGTCAGCGATCGGTGATTATCATATGCCCAGAGGGACATTGATCTTGAATCCCTCATTCTAGTGCACAGGTCATCACCTCACCCTCAGCACAGGGTAAGATACAGAGTAAAGCTCCTTCTACACGGTACTCCATCAAAAACTCCCAAGACAGGGACAGCACAGGTTTAGATACAGAGTAAAGCTCCCTCTATACTGTCCCCATCAAACACTCCCAGGACAGGGACAGCATGGGGTTATATACAGAGTAAAGCTCCCTCACACACTCTGTAAGCTGACAGCCTGTGCACTGCTCCAACACGTGACAGCATGTCTTGAGAAAGTGGGAATGTTGTAACTTTTAGGGTTTTTTTGGTACAGGAACTGTATCTGGGTTTTCCTGCCAATTCCATCTGCACTGTCCAGCCTCCCGGAAAATGAGTTCCAATTCCAGAACTCCCTGCTTTAATCTCTGAACAGCTCATTGCTCTGAGTTTGCTCTCTCACATTCTCCTCCAGCACTGTGCCCTAAAATTGATGTTTCACCTTTTTATAGGAGCTGTCACTGCAGTCCCTAAATCCCTGAGCGACAGCAGTGTCCTGGGAATTGTGGTGAGAGGGGAAAAGGAACCTGAGGGATAACTTTTTCACACAGAGGGTGGTGCGTGTATGGAATGAGCTGCCAGAAGAAGTGGAGGCTGGTACAATTACAACATTCAGTATATGGATGGGTATATGACTAGGAAGAGTTTCGAGGGACACAGGCCAAGTGCTGGCAAATGGGACTAGATTCATTTAGGATATCCAGTCGGCATGGACGAGATGGCCAAAGGGTCTGTTTCTGTGCTGTATGACTCTAAATCCAATTGGGAATTCTGCCCTCTGAGTAAGTAAAATACTGGCCCAGCCCACATCCCGTGAATGAATGAGGAAAAGGAGAGGTAGACAGCTGTGTCTGGGTCGGATCCATGCGGGCTGAATGGCCTGGGAGCTGTTGGCTCTGTTGTCACTGATCCCTCACCTGGAACACTTCGGCGATTTTGGGTCCCTCCAGGAAGAGGCGAGTGTTGAGGCACTCGACGGGTCCAAACTGAGCAGTGAAATCCTTGAACTCATCGAAGACTTTGGGATACATGGCAGCTGACATGACATCCTCGGGGGTGATCTCTTCCATGTGTTTGGTCCGTAGCTCCCTCTCCAGCTCGTCAAAGTCCAGGGGTGAGAGGGAGCTTCCCGGGCGGCCCTCAATACGGGGCAGGTCCTTCAGCACCTGAGGGAGGGAGGGTGAGAGGGAACACAAGTAACCCAGAGCTACACAGTCAGCATCAGATCAGAAACCACATCAACTTCCAGAGAAACTCTCACAGAGCGAGAGAGAGACCCAGGGAGACAGAGAGAGAGGGATAGGTACACCTGGGGGTGGGGGTGCAGTGGGGCAGAGAGAGAAAGAGACAGAGAGAGAGGGATAGGTACACCCGGGGAGAGAGACAAAGACAGAGAGAGAGGGATAGGTGCACCTGGGGTGGGGGTGGGGGTGCAGCGGGGCTGAGAGAGAAAGAGACAGAGAGAGAGGGATAGGTACACTCAGGGTGTGCAGCGGTGCGGAGAGAGAAAGAGACAGAGAGAGAGAGATAGGTACGCCCGGGGAGAGAGACAAAGACAGAGAGAAAGACAGGCACACCCTGGGGGTGGGAGGGAGAGACAGAGAGACAGGTACATACACACACGCACACACACGTGTGCACACGCATGCAAACACAAACACACGTGCACACACACACACACAGATACACACACACAGATACAGAAACACACACACACAAACACACAGATACACACACACAAACACACAGATACACACACACAAACACACACATACAGAAACACACACACACACGCAAACACACCCACTCACACACCAGGCCTTGTACTCACAAGGGCTGTTACCACAACCAACCCACTATCAGCCACTAATGGTCCCCATGAGCATCTACTCATTCCCCCCAGGCTGACCTTTACCCAGTCCCTCGTCTGCCCTCATGCCCACTTCACCCGATGAAGGAGCAGCATCACTCCATTTGTGATTTCAAATAAACCTGTTGGATTATAACCTGGTGCTGTGTGATTTCTGACTTTGCCCTCCTGCTGTTCTCTCTCACTCTGGGTACCATCTCTACCTATCGTTTACTCCTCCTCCCACCCCAGCTTCAGCAAATACACCAACCGTTTCCTAGCTACAATCGGTTCTGAGGAAGGGCCACTGGACACAAAATGGTAACTCTGCTTTCTCTCCGTATATGCTGCCAGACCTGCTGAGCTATTCCAGCAATTTCAGTTTTTGTTTCAAATGCTAGAACACCCGATTTCAATTTATACCCTAGGAGAAAAGGATGCTGACAACCGACAGGAAATTATAAGACTATAGGAAATGGGAACAGGAGCAGGCCATTCGGCCCCTCGAGCCTGCTCCACCGTTCAATAGGATCATGGCTGATCCGATATTGCTCATGCCCACTTTCCTGCCCTTTCCCCATAACCCCCTTGATTCCACGACTGATCGAGAATCTATCTATCTCAGCCTTAAATACACACAAGGACTCTGCCCCCCAACAGCTCTCTGTGGCAAGGAGTTCCAAAGACTCACAACCCTTTTGAAGAAATTTCTTCTCATCTCAGTCTTAAATTGGCACCCTTCTGGGACAATGCCCTCTGGTCCCTAGACTCTCAGCATGTTCCCTGTCAAGCTCCTTAAGAATCCTGTACGTTTCACCTCTCACTCTTCTAAACCCCAGGGAGTAGAGTCCCAACCTGTTTAACCTTTGCTCATGAGACAGTCCTTCCACATCAGGGATCATCCTGGTGAACCGTCTCTGAACTACCGCCACTGAAATGAGATCTTCCCTTAAATAAGAGAGATGGGAGTGCTAGACCCTTCAAACTCTCAAGGAACTCAAAGTGACACAAGGCATGGACACATCCCTTTTGACTGCAGGGAGCAAGTCCCTGTGTATGTTTCTGCATCACTTCCAGCAAACGTCAATAGGCTACTTTACAACATCTCAAAATGGCTGTCAGCGCACTCGGTATTGTTCAGTAACCATTGCCCAGCTGCGGGAATGCGTCTAACAGTACGCATTTAGCACTGGACTTGCAAGCATGGGGCACATGGGGTACTCTGGTTGCTAGGCCAGACGATGCTGTTAGAGTCGATCAGCCAGACATGGGGACTGTGGACCTGCCATGTGAGGTTCTGCTGACTTTCTGCTGAGCAAATTCGCTGGAATTTGGAAGGTTTAGGGATCTGGTAGACCACGATCTCAGTGAACGGTGGACAGATTTGGAAGGTGATCCGGAACTGGATGTTATCTACCTTCTGGGACTCTATAATCCTTGCTCCCAGAATATTTTATCAATCTCAATCTCGCTGGCTCCCTCCGTCCCGACATCTGCAGCGTTTTGAGGGAGAGAGGTTTGGATTTCCACACCTGTTTGTGTAAATCCTGACGCAACTTCCCCCTCTCTGCCGGTTTCCTGTCCCTACTTGCCCCTTGAGAAGGTGGTAATGAGCCGCCATCTTGTGACCCTGCAGTCCATGTGCTGTGGGTAGACCCACAATGCCCTTAGGGAGGGAATTCCAGGATTGTGACCCAGCGACACTGAGGGAATGGCCGCCACATTTCCAAGTCAGGATGGGGACGGAGATTGGGAGGTGTCAGAGCATCCATGTATCAGCCATAGAGGTAGAAAAGTAATGCCCCACATGGCAGAAGAGCTAGGAGTAGGCCATTCGGTCCCTGAAGCCTACTCCGCTACAGCCATGGCTGATCTTATATAGGCCTCAACCCCACTTTCCCGCCCCACTCCCTTTAACCCATTACTGATCGAGAATCTGTCTGTTTCCTCCTGAAACTTTTTCGGTGTCCCCCCCCCCCGCACACTTATTCCACAGATTCACCCACCCCCCCTCCCCATCTCTGTTTTAAATCTGCCCCCCCATTCTGAAACAAATGACCTCTTGTTCTAAATTGTCCCCCACATGAGGAAACGTCCTCTCTCTACGTCTACTTTTCAGTCCCCATTGGCATCCTATAGATCTCTTATCAGATCTCAGCTCATCCTTCGAAACGGCAGAGGGGATTGACCCAAACTGCTCAATCTCACCTCATAAGGAGCCTTTACAGCTGCTTTGTTCAATCCTTTTAATGTTTTAAACACCTCAGTCAGATCACATCTCTATAGCTGATCAGAACCTCTAAACACAAGGCTTAGAAACTTGCTAAGATAACAAGGTGTAGAGCTGGATGAACACAGCAGGCCAAGCAGCATCAGAGGAGCAGGAAGGCTGACATTTCGGGCCTAGACCCTTCTTCAGAAATGGGGGACGGGAAGGGGGATCTGAAATAAATAGGAAGAGAGGGGGAGGTGAATAGAGGAGAAGATAGGTGGAGAGGAGACAGACAGGTCAAAGAGGTGGGGATGGAGCCAGTAAAGGTGAGTGTAGGTGGGGAGTTAGGGAGGAGATAGGTCAGTACAGGGAGGACGGACAGGTCAAGGGGGCGGGATGAGGTTAGGTAGGAGATGGGGGTGGGGCTTGAGGTGGGAGGAGGGGAAGGTGGGAGGAAGGACAGGTTAGGGAGACAGGGACGAGCTGGACTGGTTTTGGGATGCGGTAGGGGGAGGGGAGATTTTGAAGCTTGTGAAATCCACATTGATACCATTGGGCTGCAGGGTTCCCAAGCGGAATATGAGTTGCTGTTCCTGCAACCTTCGGGTGGCGTCGTTGTGGCACTGCAGGAGGCTAAGGATGGACATGTCGTCTGAGGAATGGGAGGGGGAGTTGAAATGGCCCTGCGCTTCTTCCTGTCCCGCAGGCCCGACCAGACCTCCTCCACTGACACCCTCATCTGCTTAGCCAAACTCGTCCTCGCTCTCAACAACTTCTCTTTCAATTCCTCCCACTTCCTACAGACAAAAGGGGCGGCCATGGGTACCCGCATGGGCCCAAGCTATGCCTGCCTCTTTGTAGGTTACGTGGAACAATCCCTCTTCCGTAGCTACACTGGCCCTAAACCCCACCTCTTCCTCCGTTACATTGATGACTGTATTGGCGCCGCCTCGTGCTCCCACGAGGAGCTCGAACAGTTCATCCACTTCAGCAACACCTTCCACCCCAACCTTAAGTTCACCTGGACCATCTCTAATACCTCTCTCTCCTTCCTGGACCTCTCTGTCTCCATCTCTGGCAACCACCTAGAAACCGAGATCCATTTCAAGCCCACCGACTCCCACAGCTACCTAGAATACAC